ACTTTGTATTTTGCTTTTGTTGTACGCTAATGTACATTGGAGTCACTGAACATGATAGAGACCATGTATAGAATTGACTAATTAAAAAATCCTGACGCCCAACTTGAACCGATCGGCTATACTTCAAAGTGAACTAATATTGTTTCCCATTCTTTACAGTTTGTTTCAATGCAATACCAAATCTCCGCGATCGCCATCACGTTTTTAACCGCCTTCCTCGCCATCATGATTTTAACTGCAGACAAGTTTGTATGTACCGTATCTTGGTAAGCTACATCTGTTTGCAGGTAAATACTTGGCTATGGCACTTACCCGTAATGAAGTTGCACCTGAAGATGCAAATATTGCAAAGTTTCTTCAAGTAGCTTTTGTTAATCTGCACCAGCCAAATACGCTGGTACTTTTAGGAAAATCGCAATGTGCGTTCTCAATTTTAGGTGATAACTTTCAGCGAAGAAACACCCTAAGCTCTGCTCCCTCTGCGTGGACTACTAAATCAACTTGCCTCACTAGCAGCTCATAATTTCTCAAACTTGCATCGTGAGGCAAAACTAAACGGGTGCAAGCACGAGGAGACAACATGGCAGTTGTAGGCGATAGATTCGGTTGGTGCCCGGGCATGTCGGTGGCGCATTTGGGAAGTGACGAAAAGGCACTGCGAGATACACGTGCACACTTTGTGTAGTTGCTGTATTGGACAGCAAACTTTTTTCTTATCTGGGCAGTTTTACCAAAGGAAGCTTCATCATATGGCATGATAAATGAAGCGAATCCACAGGTTGAACCACATCATTGTCTCGCTGTGCTTTTGTACTTTTTTAGCTCACAAAATTTATTTGTACATATAAGTGACAACTTGCCAGTAATAAGGCAGCACTCGTTTCTTTACCATGTTTTCATCTCCGGTGTGCTGCTGCCTCAATATTTCAAATTCTAAGCATTTACATCATTGTATGCTAACTTTTCCTTCAAAGTGACACAAGCCACCTGTGTATCGTAGATCAAGAAGCATGCCAGTTTTACGTACTTGTAAGGTAAACTTCAGAAATGCACAGTTGACCCAAAATATTAGTTTAATGGTGCATCTACATAGCAGAGCACCTGTGGCACCAATTAAACCATTTTGCATAGCTTCCACGTATTCATTGTACATCTAAGACTACCAATTATTGTGCTGTTCCACATTGTCCATGTGGCTATTAGGCACAGAATTGCCTAATAGTGCCTAATATCCACATTGTCCATGTGGATATTAGGCACTGTTGCGTGTGGCAGTACTTTGTATGGCGCACTAGACAAGGTCGAACAAGCTGTCAGCTGCAGTGTTTTCAGGAAAAATCTATGCTATTTTGTACAGACAGTGCTGTTACATTTCATCAGTGTGCGGTTTTATCGATTATCATTAAATATACCAATACATCCTTACTTACATTAGGTATATTGCACAGAGCAATTAAAAACCTTTGTAGCATAATGTGAAAGATGTCAGTTTTTTCATTTTTAGCACTCTATACACTATAATTTCTCTTTTTCATTCATGTAAATTATAAGCTACCATTTTTCAGTGTATGTTGCCATCTGTGGTTACAACATAACATGTAAGGCACTTGGTACCTCTTCTCATTATTTATAAACATTGAATTTTTTCTTGAAGTTTGGGGCATCTTCTTTATTAGAGCTGCTCTGGACCTGACATGTAGTTCGTTATCAGTGAATGAACGAAATTGACGCGGTATCTTGGCTACAAACTT